TCACTTTGTCGGAATTTAACCTCCAGTTCCATTTCTTTTTCTTCTACAAACAAGTGTTGTGAGCTGTGTTTTATATTATCGTTATGCCTGAGCCTGTCCTTTTCCTTGGAAATGTTTCAGATGTCTGGTTGCTATGGCATCATTGTTGTCATTTTTTTTTTTTTTTAATATTTCTTTTATTTCAAAACTGTTTTTAGTCCAGAATATGCTAATGAAATGTAGCAGTCATCCGATACTAGTGGCCAATGCTGATACCAATGGCCAGTATAAAGTGACAATATCACTCTGATGTTTTTTTGTTTTGTTTTGCATATGGCAAAATATTATAATAATTTCAATCAATAGAATCAAAATCTTTAGCCAGTTATTCAGCCATCAAATTATGGATGTATTTGTGATTGTAAGATTTTTCATGTTCATGTTTGTGGAGTGGCAAATATTTTAATCCATTTACTTTGGGAACAGCCAGTAATTGAGGATAAGGGATTGTAGTTTAGGAGGCTCTCCTGACGATGTTGGTGCTGCTAAAACTAAATGAATGTGAACTGGTTCATTTTAGACTTAAAAGCTTTATTCAATATTTAAAATAAAATCAGCTTTGAGCATGAATTGTTCATTTTGATCCGTGTGAACCAAACTTGGAGGTAGCTCACTTTAAATGTGAACTTGCAAAACACTGCCTGTTAAAACTTTTGTTTGTGTCCTGAACCACCGGTAACCTGATGTTCTGCTGACTCAGCAGGTCTTGACAGAAAAATAAAACTTTGAGGACAGCAAAATTCCTGTTGAAATTTAATCCTTAGAGGTTTATGTCATTGCCAAGAACTGAAAAGCTGAGCGACAATGGCTTTGTCTAATCAAATCTCTGAATCTCTGACATTTGGAACCAGGACCAAGTTCAAACAGGTCCTTGATACACAAGCCTCATGACCCCATGACCTTTGCACTTTGAGAAATACAATTTTCTTATCAAATGATCAACACCATCCATCCCTTAATAATATTTTTGCATATAAATAGCACAGCAGTCCTTTAAAGCATCTCCGTCTCCACGTTAATGTAATAATAAATCTGGATTGAACAGATAATCATGGTGCCTGGTCTGGACCTCAGAACAGAAAACTCATTCTAGTTATTTTCCCACCTGAAAGTGCTCTGTACCTTGAACTTTTAGTATGTTTTGTAAACAAACCTGTGACTGAAACTGGGCCGTGAAAATAAGTGCATCAGAAACATATGGTGTGCCTCAAAACCCAGAGAGCCACAGAGGACAGCCGAGGGACCCTCTTTCAGGAAATCAGATTTCATTAGTTAGCAAAAAGAAAAAACAACATCCTGTCTGTCTGATAGGCGTGACAAAATCCAGCCATGTTTGGTAATTCCCAGCAGGAAAGTAGGTTAGGATCAATTACAGTGCCCTGTAAATTGTTAAGTAATGATTTTTTTCATTACTTTCACTTCTAAAGGAAGAAAAGTTGAATAAATCCCAGATACCTTAAACATGTGCATTCGCTGTTTTGTTTCTGAAGTGACTCGCAACATGAATTCAGTTTTTTTTTTCTTTTTTTTTTTTTTTTTTGTGTCATTTTTAGACAAATTGTTTAAACAGAATCTGAAATTTTAGATTCATCCCAGAGGGAAATTTAAGATAATAAGGACGACCTCAGATTTTGTATATGTGTAAAATGATTACCATGTCTTCAAAGGTCAGTTGCCTGCACACATTGTTAGGGTGTAATTTATGAATTTATGGAAAGAAAGGAAAATGTAAAATCCCTCAAGCAGACAAAACCAAAATTCACTTGGTATACTTGCTGAAGAACTGAATTTAACTCTGAACGACAAATAAAGTTCAGTGAAAATTTGCCCCATTTTTTCCCCATATTCTTACTAATATATTTGTATTCGTTTTGAGGTCTGGATGGAGGTCGGGTGTCTGGGACCATAGTTTACAGGGCTGCTGTCCACAAACAAGTAGTAAGCAGCCAGCACATGATCCCACTCAACAAGTTGCATCAGTCCACTCTCAGAAAGAATTCAGGCATCATGACTCGGACCACTCAGCAATAATGCTGAAAAACGTTGTTGTCTGCACAGAAAACAAAGCTGCAGTTCCATTTCCTGTTCACATAGTCGACCTAATTTTTAGTGCAACAAATCTGATGTTGCTGTAACACAACACCATGGAGGCCCATTAGGGGATTAAATTGCCTTTTGGTGAGTCTTGATGGTGGACATCCAATGGAAAGGAAACAAACTGCATCAGAACATGAGTGGCTGAGTAATGTGCTGTGATTGTTTAAGTGATTACCTTACCAATGGACGGTTGTGACTGACCCAAATTCTTACTATACTGGATTTTACCATTTGCCAAATACTTCAATGTTGCGCTGACTTTAATTTTTGTCCTTATTGTTACATTTAGTCAGAGATGATGTCATTATTCCCAGGATTGATTAGAAATTTCTGATAAGGAGCAGTTATTTGCACTAAGAGGCTTTGGGAATACAGCCCTATGTTAAAGAGTAATTAGATGGATGGTGTGCAGTGCAGCCTGCAGAAAGGAACATGGTCTATCTTTTAAACAGGTTCATGGCCTTTGAAGTGCAGACAGTATATATACATAAAGCAAAATGCAAAGTGAAACATGTCTATTTGTCTGGGACCAGAAAAAAGTGCAAGTGCAGGTAAATTATCTGTAAACAGTGAACATATCTGTGCAGAGTCCAGGGCAAATAAATGGCACCAAACACTGATGTCAGGTGCTGTAATCCAGCGTGAATTAGAGTAGCAGCTATTGATTGGTAATTAAGTATTTTACCGAATATTCCATCGAGTAATCAGATAAACAGTGATAATTTGAGTCATCGTAAATTTTTGTAACCAAAGTATTCGAGGAATTGTTTCAGTCCTCGTTTGAATAGTGATCAGATGCAGTTTTAAAAGATTTAAACTCTTAAAAGTGATAGTTGATGATGCTCTTATATTGTCAATGCATGATTTGACTTGTAAATTTACTTACAGTTGGATGAAGATAAACCAATATTGATTGTGGCACAAATAGCAAGAAATAAAATGACTGGGTTTAGTTTTAGAGATTGTTCGTTTATTATCTTTAGATAACTTTTTTATTTACAGTTAATTTCAGGAATAAGATCACAGCTCTTGTAAAAACATGTTGAAGTCGTGGTTGGAGAGGACTCTTAAGAATAATATCACACGTTTTTTTCTCACCTAAGATTTAAAGCTGACAAACAATGAGGAAAAGCAGACTGGAAACTCTGCTTCGTCCCTCAGTTTTAAACAAGGTTGTGACCACATGTTAAGCTTGAAAGTGTTAAATTGTCCTGTAAATGAATATCTCTCAAACCCTCTGGGTAAACTGTGATGTGAATGGTCATGACTGGAAGGGAATGTGGGTAAGCAGGTCCTGTTTCAAACTTCAGTGTCCCTCATGTCAACTATCAGGCCAAAGCAATGACAAACATACATATTTATCATGTAAATGGAGGAAGTAATACATATTCATTCAGAATTCCTCATGTTGAAAATGTCAAAATACACATTCCTGCACTTCCAAACACAAACACAGCCACAAACTTTCCAAAAAGTTCATATTACCAGCTGACTTTCAGGCAGGGATCAATGTTCTTACAGAGAAAGAGAGTCTGACTAACAGTGACAGATGTGAAGAGGAGCTCCCACGTTGTTCATTTTATCTGATGGAGAGAAGAAGGGAGTGGGAGTATCCTTTCCTTCAGAGTCAGTGAAACACACTCTGAACTCTCTCTGTTGTTTAATCCCAATAATAACCTGGTGATCCAGATGGAGATGCTGTGGGATTTGAAATCTGATCAATAAAAGATCAGAAGCAGGGCTGCTTAAGTTGGGAGTCAAAAGTTTTTCAAATGTGAAAAGCATGAGGCTGAAGTAGGAAATTCTTCTGCCTCAAAGTAGAGCAGAGACAGTTTCATTTCACCATGTCTTTCAGCATACTCAGACTCTGTGTGTTTGCCACTCACATCCAGCAGTGTCAACAAATGAGTTTGTTTGATGGTCAGGTAAACCAACTCCTGGCATATCAAGCAAACTCAGGTCAATCTCAGAACGAATCCCCTCTGGTCCGATGGTGTTTGAGTCTGTGGGAGTGATGGTGAACTTTTGAGGACCTAACAGAAATTGCTCTCATGCAGTTGTTACTAAAGTTGGTATAACTAGAGAAGCAAGCAATCAGCAACATTCATCTAACTCACAATTTGAAGAGTAAGAATCAGTAAACTGAGGCAAAATCAGTGTCTGACTGAGCTGTTAGCTGCACTTGCATGCAGATATCTGATTGAAGTCAGGGAGAAAAGATTTACCAAACCTTATTAGTTATTGACGTTAGAGATCTGGGAGTTTGATGCCAAGTATTAAAGTTATTAGTCGTTTTATTGTGGACGTTCAGCTGCTTTCTCTGTATAATGTGCCTGCCCTCCTCAAACTTGAGTTGTAGAATTTGACCTTGTTTCTCCAAGGGGAGAAAGGATAGTTTAGAGGCTTAGCCTGTTCTTGTTAGTGTTAGATATCTCACGAGGACATTATGATTTTCTGTCCCTGTCCTACCTCTCTATGCCTCTCTGAGCTGAGAAATGATTTGGTGTGATGATAAAAAGAAAACTTTCACTTCGTATGTCGGGATAGCAAAAACTTTGCAACCATGCTCGCAGTAGAAACCAGCAGCCCAAACAGTCCTGAGATACAAAAACTGTTTCCAACAACAGCTTTGTCCCAACTTGCTGAAGTCATGACATCCAGAGCTGTTGTATTTCTAAGGCATTGAGTAAGCAGAGACAGTGAGCAGTTTTTACAAATCCAATTGTCGGGCCCTGCATATACAACTCACCTATTCTATGACCTCCTCTTTTCTTCTCTCCAACCATGACCTCAACTCTTAAAGGCCACACTTTTCCAGGAAATTGTGTGGCTTCTGAGATCTTCTGGCTCTCTTGATTGCGGGTTTAGCCAGGAAAAGTACCAGAGTTTACAGCTGCAGGTTTGCTGATGTTGAGGTAACGATGTAAGGTCCGCTCATTGACCTGACTGTTCTCAGGAGTGCTACCAGGACCGTCATCATCGCATTTGGAGCTCATTTTGTCAGAGGGAGGTTCGTCCATGTTCTGTTTTTTAAATTATCTGATTCATAAATGGCTCAAAGACAAAGTCATCATCATCATCTGCTGCTTCATGTTTGGTATAGCTACATCTTTATTTCACAATCTGCTGTCGTAGAAAAGAAGACTTACAATTGTATAGAACATAGCACTCTGATTTATCTTAAAATCAGGTGAATCTTAAAGACCCACTCCAATGAAAATCATGTTGTTGTTTTATTGTTGTTGTTGTTTACATGTTCATATGGCATTTTTCTGATGCTACTGGACATTTCATGAGAAAAGAAAATGCGAAATTGCATTTTTAAGTATTTCTGCAATCATGAATCTGTGGCAGACCCAAATGGCAGGTTCAGATACAGTGAGATTTCCTATGTCACAAATCCAAGCTCCGCCCCCTGAGAAACGGTTTGCAGGCCAGACTCTGAGAAAGGAAGATGACGATTGTGGAACAAGCATGTGTGTGATAGCCTATGCGATGCTCGTAAAAAGGGTAATTATGATATTAACTTTCATCATGTCCTCAAAGACATTATTGTCTCAGAGCTGAGACAGACCTGCTACTTCTACTACACCACGACACCAGCATTGTAATGTTTGGCTGCAAGCTAGCGTTAGGAGGAGTGGTTAGAGCAGCGCTATCTCTACCCACGACTCAGAGGCGAATTGCTAATGAGGTACTGGAGCTTTGAGGAAGAAATGCCTTTGAAAATTATGCAGGTAACGTGACTTTGGATAAAAACTTAATAATCACAATTTAAAGACCACTGAGAACAGTTTTAGCATTTAAAAAAAACAATCGAAGTGGGACTTTAAGGCTATGAGAACTTTACTTAAAAAAATAATAAGAAGAACTTAATTGATCACTGAAAGGGAAATTCAATAACAAGAACAGAAGCATTCATGCAAAATTTCAAAACAGTGTTTAAAAATACTCAGAAGATACCTCAGGGTTGATTAAGTAACCAGAGTGGACTGAGACATTATAGTTCTTTGCAGGGATGAAAGTAACTAATCACATAGTCATAGTTTTGTTTAATGGTGTTTTCTTTGAGAAGTATTCAACTTTGCATCAGTTACAGTGAAACAAAATTGCTCAAAAAATCTTTCTATCATCTGTGTGAAAGCCAGCTGGTTGTCTTGCCAGAATATCTCCATATACTTGATAAAGATAGATCAGTATGACATGTCCAAATATAAATCTTGTTTTTGTATAAAGAAAATTTAACACATTATTTTCTTTATACATCCATAGAAGAGGTACTGCACTTTGTTTCAGGAACCTATCAAGAAAACCTTTGATCGTGATAAATGCAGCAATTTCTATTTATTACAAGTCCTTATTTTTGACTTAAATTAATAACACAGTGCACAGACAGCCACAACTGCAGTGTGCAGGAAACATCAACACTGACAAAAGTTGTAGTTTTACTTATGTTTTACTTTTACTCAAGAAAACAGTCATCAAAGTAATTTTGCTTTTACTTGAGTAGGATATTTTAGTACTTGTTTGACCCGTGGTCCTACGTCAATGATAAAGCCAGTTGTTCATGTGACGTGTCATATTAGCTAGCCTGCTAAAAACATCAGCTTCACAGTCTTTGTCCACAGCTTTCTTCACAGTCATTCTTCATTGTTCCGGTCTCTGTAAATGAAGCTGTGGTAGGTCATCAATTAAAAATTAAATCCGACCCCCGCACAGAGAAACTTTCTCACACTGCCATCCATCCCAGGCTTTTACATCCCTGTTTTGGAGGGTTGAGAAAGACTTTCGTGTTTCTTAATTCTCAAATTTCTTCATCTCTCGTTCTGTTTTATTTTCATGTTTTTTCTGCTTCTTCTGTTCGTTCCTTCGTTAAAACTTTTTAATTTATGATGGGTGTCACCAAAAACCAAACCCAACATCTGGACCTCTGCAGGGTGTCTGTGTCTTCGGTGCACACAAACATAAGTTCACACATGCACAGCTTAATGCTCAATGCACTTAAAGCATAGAGATACACTGATTTATGCACGTATAATATGCACGTTATCTTCCAAACCTACAGAAGGCACATTTTCATTTACTGTTATAACAATAATCAAAACATTTCTACCATCTCTGTAAATCCCTTGAGGTCAATCACACATGCACTCAAAAGTGTACAGCCGTAAAAAATGACCACATCATATGGATACAAGTCTATTAGGAAGAAAAACATACAGTTTAATGTAACCGCACTATCACAGCAAGGTTTTAATACTTGCCTTTTGAAAACAGTGGCAAACACACTCACATTGATCATACACTGTGTTTAAATGCACTTAAAAAAATCTGTTTACTGAAAAAGTCTGACTGAAACTGGACTTTTCACCATCGATCACGGTGAAGGCATTTTTCTCTGTTAACGTTTGGATTCTGGCTACAGATCTAGTTCTTAGTTTTGAGGAGGAAGGTTGTTTGGTTTTCCAAAGGAGCTCAAGAGCACGTGACAGTAGCTCAAGCATCTGGCCCAGACACCTGCTGAAATTAAGAGAAGTCAAAAGTCCAGGGATGTGTGACGCAAGTGAAGGTCGTGAACGTCCCTCCTCTGCTGTGTGGTGAGAGAGGAGGCAACCCCTAATGGCTGAGACAAACCTTTTCAACTTTTCAACTCTCTTTCAGCTTTTTGTCATCTCTCTCTTTCCATGTCCAAGTCAAGAGAACACCTACAGATTAAGAATTCACCTGCTCACATTTCTCATAAAAACATCATGTTGAGGTGAAATCATGTGTCGCCTTAGTCGCTCGGTGAAACTCAGAGCAGCTTGTCAGAGGTGTCTGAAACAAAGCTCGCTCAGACACCGACCCTCCTCCACCCTGCCACTCTCTCTGATTTCACGCCTCTTTATCTCTTTCTTCCTCTGTGTCTCTCTTTATTTTCTGTGTTCCCCCGATGGTTTGGATTCAGCACGAGCATAACAAACACACTGTTGCCATGGTTACATGTTCTAAAAGTCCCCAAAAAAACAGGACAGAGCATCACTTCTGAGAAGGAAGACCTCTCTCCGCCCGCTGGGCTTCAAGTTTTGCTTCATGTGGTGTGGATTTTAATAATGATGATGTCTGATTTCTCTTTTTTTTTGTCAGCTCTAGTTTGTTTCTTTCAAGTGGGAGGGGGATTTAAATCACAGCTATGCTACAAAAATGGTTTGTGAAGTGCCAGACAATGCCCTTTTTCCAGAGCAGAATCCATAATGTGTTTTTTCTGTGATGTCAAGCTGTCCTGTATAATTTTCCCAGATGAGCTCACTCACTCTCTGCTCCCTGACACCACCTGACCGAGGCTGACGTCTGGCTAACGTTACACATGTCAAGGTTATGAGGACTGGAGGTGTGTGCATGTCTTAGACTGAATCGTGTGTGTGTGTGTGTGTGTGTGTGTGTGTGTGTGTGTGTGTGTGTGTGTGTAAGGGAGAGTAAAACAGCACTGCAAAGGCTTGAAATGTAATTATTAGTTTAGTTCCCACAGATTTGGATTTATTGATGCCTCTTGCCTGTAAGCGTGTGCGTGCCGCCTGTGTGTGATCACGCTGAGGAGAGTCTGCTGAGCGGGGGAACTGAGGTGTGGCGGGGTTAAGAGGTTAAAGGTGGTCTCATTTACTGGAGTCAGTGAAGATGAGAAAAACAAGTGAAGCTTTTGCCAACTATTGATAGTTTTCCATCATGCATCTCCCCACAGTGACACAAAACTGCAGGCCCGGCTGTGAAAAAGTAATGTGATGAAATCCTGATCAGATCCTGAAAAAACAGGCTGTTCAAAGTAAAAGAGTAAATAAGACGGGATTGAATCAGGAAATCTATTCCTGCTTTTTTATTATCCTAGTTAATCCTTTAACTTCCCTGCAGGATGGAAATAAATCCAAAAAATGTGGATCAAGAGAGCAAGACACATTTTTTTTGCACTGCTGTTCAATTAAAGCCGACCGGATATCAGATTTTATCTTTTCCTATCTTAAGTCAACATTTTTTTTTCCTCCTGTATTTCCTCATTAAAGCTCCTGTGAGGAACTTTTTGCTTGAGTCAACTTTGGCACCCCCTGCTGACAAAACAGTCTTTGTTCATCTTGTCCTTTACATATGCAAGAAGTGATTTAAAAAAAAAAAAAAGTTAAATCAGGAATCCTTTATCTGCCCAGCTGATATCTGTCCACATGGTTTCAGGGTTTCAATCTACAATCTTGTTGTTGATGTTTTTGCTTTTGGATATCATAAAAAGCATTATTGTGGATTCTACAAAGTTAAAAAAAAAAATCCTCACAGGTGCTTTAATATCTCTTGTATTTCTTTAGTTACTAAATCTCTGTTTTCACTTTGCTAACAAAGTGAAGCCCAAGTGTCTTTTTACAACAGCACAGGAATTACACCTAAAAAGTTTTCTCGGCTATCTTGATTTTCGTCTGAGTGTTTTTGTTTGCAGCAGAGACTGAATGCTTTTTTTCAGCCATTAATTCCCTCTCTCTTTGTGGTCTGAATTTCCCCACGTTGTAACAAAATAAACACTTGAGTCTACCGCATTTAAGATTTAACAGATTTGTATCCAAGATGACAAAACACTGATAAAACAGAAATACTGTAGCCTCACACTCACCCTGTCACTTCACTTCCAGACTATTTGCTCATGAGAAGAAAACTCACCTCTCACATGAATTTGGGTTTTACTGTCTGCTGGAGCTTTTGAGTAGTTTACATAACCTTGAGTCAAATTCCTCCTACTGATTACAGCATTACGTAGCAGCACTTCAGCTCACTGTTTTTCTGCGCTGAAGGTTAACTTCTCAAGCCTTGGTGTCAGCACACGTGTCGGTGTGTTTGACTGTGAGAGTGCTGATACTTGAAGCTTAGTCTATTAGGTCATTGCTTCATACAGTGTGCACATACAAACAACTGAGGTGTTTGGGTCAGGACTCATGAGGGGTCACTCAGGGGCCTCAGCACTTGCAGTATTGTTGGCTTTTAAAATTCACATTATGGTTGTTTTAAA